TGATTCACAATAACCATTCAATTAAATAGAAAGGAATAACCAGATAGAACAAACACCACAGTAAAGTGTTGACTAATAGACTCATCATGTTAGCAAGTAGATCGATGTTCTAAGAATGTGCACATGCCTAAAACTGCTACAAAGCATTCTAAAAAATTGAATTGTAAGAAAACATAAAGGTAGACGTCTGCTTACCACAGACTAATGATAGAATAATGGCGGCATGTACTGCCTACAGACTTAAAGACAGATAACGATATTAAACCAACAGTGGTTGATTAAGATGTTCGTGGAAAACATTAAATTCATAGGACATAGACGAGAAGGATTTCACATTGTTTGGCGGTTGTTAATTCTTTCTAACACATGGTTCCTATTGGTTTCATGTGCCCCCACTGGAGCAAGCTGGAACTTCATAACCTCGTGTTGGGTTGTCGAGTGCATCGACTTTCGGGCTGGATAAACTCAAGACCACCAGTAACTGAGGAGACTTATGTTTCTAATTTTATGCTGGATTAGCTATTCTATTAAGACATCGTATAGTATGCTAGCCCGGACCTTTACTTTAGGGCTTTGTGGCAGGCATCGAATGGTGAAACAACAGATAATAAAGGGCATAATTATTAGTTTCCTTAATATCTTTCGCTCTATATGCAAGGAAGTTAGTTTATTAGAACACACTTCCTTATTGCAACCTTGAATTCCTTTCCTTCATTTGAACTTACTCCGCCTTGATAGATATCACAACTCATTGGTTTTTATTACTGAATTCTCTCATCTGGAGCGTTTTATCACAATTCATAAGAGCTATGGCTCTTGTTGCCACTACAGTATGAATTTAATCTAATAATTAATCATACCTCTGTCTCTTCCACTACTAAATGTTAGGCACTGTTCACCGTTCATATACAAATGCCCTGCTGCTCCTCGATTTCTCTTTTTTCAGAATCTTGCTCTGAGGGGAAATTTGTGGAACTTCTGTCATCTGGAACAAACTGGGCGTTTTCACAAGGTCATAGTCTACACCAAGCGCTCTGCAAGTCCACTTCATAACAACTATAAACTTAAAACGTTGCAGTGCAACCAAATCTTAACACAATTTTGCCGAGAATGGATCTGGTGTGTAACGTGGACGCAATGCCACTTGGAAAAATATTTTGAAGAATACACAGTATATTTGAACGAATGAACCGATATTCACTTTTATAGATTATATTTACTTAAAAATCCTGCTTGGGATGCATACTGTGAACCAATAAATGTTGTAACTTTCAGATCATTCCTGTAAAACTGGCGTGTACCTACCCTTGCAGAAATATATTATAATTAAGTACATTCGTGTAGTTACAACAACATCTTCCCATTTGATCTATGTGAAACGAAGTAATGCAGCATATAGCGAAAACACCAAAATGTCGCTGGAACTGTGATATAAATAATGTTTACTACAGAATCTACTAGAGAATGGGACAGCGTATATCAAGTCAGTGATTTATTTATAGGCTACCGATCGCTTATTAAGCCTTAAGTTAAGATGGTATTCGGTCTATGATCAAATGCAACTGAAATTAGATAAGCTGTATTGACAGCGTGATAATTTCGAATCCATCCACGTAGTCGTTTTCAGAAAATCTTAATAGTGATATAGTTTTACTTTTCAAAGTGTGTTTTACCAATTGGTTACAGAGATCAGTATAGGTTGTAGGAAGAGTGACTTCAATTCATTTGAGGTTCTCTGTACCGCAACCCAAAGTTTCTTTTTAAACGACCATGTTTTCCTTATGGGGCAAACATTTAAATACTGTAGTATTGAGGAATGATTATGTAAAATTCTATGATTCCGAAAAAGGTTAAGTCTAAACTATCTGGGCCATTACTCCCAAATATCACACAATGTTTGATTCCAAGACGAAATAATGTTTAACCAATCGGAATCACTTCGAGTTTAGAATTCGCTGGTACAATAAAACACTAATAACCACGAAGCATGAAAACAAAAGACATCATAGTGAATGTTTAGTAGAAAGAGAATCGTTTGACCACAGAAAATCGACTATATTGATATGGAACAAAATTAGGTTTTAAATATGTCAACAACCGCTAAAAAGTATCCTTTTCAAAGCGTGCATTGAAAGAAATATGTGGGAGAACCATACATATTTCATACAATGCTTCATTTCAGCTCCAATTCACTGATGAGTGTATTTCGTCGTTTTGTTTTATGGCGTAGTATCATACTGTTCCTCGAAAACAGCGAGCTTATCGGAAGTTTAAATCAATGAACCGAATATTTGTACAGTACAGGGGTTTCCGCTAATCCTATACCATAACCACAATCGCTATTAGTTGGAGTATTAACTGGGGTGATGATTCCAAGCTCAAGACCCTTATATTCGGGCACATAAAAGACATCTAAATGAAAAAAAAAAAGCACCTATGATTAGTTCGTATTGCTGCAGTTACACTGACAGAAAGCTGTCAGGAAATATCTCGGTAAGCAATGATTACCACACTCTGTCGCAGGTTCACACTTTCCACAGTACTGGTAGCTTGCGAAAAAACAAGAGAAAATGACACTTAAAAACTAGGCATTCAAGATAATTGAGTGCTTGTTTTAAATAAAAAAGTGATAGTTACGGTTTTTGCGCTCCCTTTACGCTTCAGATACAGAGATACATCTTTCCAATGCAACTTTTTGGGGAAGGTAGGGCAACAAAGTCGTGGCACCGTAGTACTCGAGCACTGTTGTGTATTCATAATTAGGTGCACATCCGCGTGCTTCTGACATGGGTGTATGGACTGTCAGAAGAACGAAACCAGTGAAAGTGAAACATAAAACTTCTTATACAACGGAGACACACATACTAAGTGGAATAGATGTGAGAAGTGATGGCTGCAACATGGTGACCACTACATCAAAAATCAGGGTGAAAATGCCTGACGGTGTTTAAAAGTTCCTAATTCTATTCACAGTCCCACTGTTAGAGGCCATTCTACTGGAGAGCAGAAAAGCTTTCGGTGAATAGCAGTAAGCCGAATAATGAATCCTGCTTGGCGTTTGCAACAACATGGATGGACTGTGATGGTTATATTACAGGAAACCACATCGACATTTCGAACTCTTAGAGTAAGAGTGATCGCAGAATTCGTAAGAGTGAGCTCTGTTGATGTCTTGGAGACTGTCGGCTAAACGGTACTAGGACGTTAAATCACACCATGGTTTTTAAGAAAGGCTATGGCAGAACCGTAAACAAGCATTGAAGGGCCAGCCATCATCACAATTTGTGATGGTACTGGTGCGCAACCACACGGCCTTTGAAGCCGAACATACAATAAATGAGATGTACATAAGACTTTGAACACTTGGCTATCAGAAACGAAGGAACACTGAAACATTTGGTTTACACATGAAGGACTTCTTTCAAGGAAGGAAATTCCTATCACTTTCTTATGTGTTAATCCCCGTCCGATAATTTGAACCATGGACTACATTAAAATGTGCATAAAGGGAACTGAATTCTTACATTGTTATTAAAAAGTACGGCATAATACTTGTCAACTTTTATTTCAGTATTCCTTAAGAACCTTCCCATATTTCACTGAAACCTACCGTTTTGGGATCCAGTGAACTTAGGTAACCTGAAAATTCCGTTTGCCCCGTCAAGGAAGGAACACTTTTGTACTAGCATTGCAAATATATTTTGCCTAGCTTTCATTGATTGGAAACACTGGTGCTATCGCCGGCTAAATTTTCAGTTATAAAGAAGGATCCCCAATTCGGCCTCAATACATTTAAGAACCAGGAAGCTTGCTGCAATGACTTGAAATGAAATTGGTGTATCAGTGTTTTGACTTGGTCAAAACTTGATGCTGCTAATGAGATTGTTAGATTGACTGCGGGTAAACTGCTATCTGAAAATTACCTCCACAGAACAAGAATACTATGCACACACAGTGTCATTAATCTAAAGATGCCACAAGTGTTCGGAGTTTGACATCGTCTTTACCAGTAACACCTTTATAGTCCATGTATGCCTACTCAGTCAAATCACGAGTCAGAAGTGAAGAGGTTCGAAGTTATGCTTGAAAGGCTGTCGATTTATCGAGAACCGGTTGGCCTAAGCTGGCTAACGGCTACAAGTGATGCTTAGCACGGCGTAATCACTTGTGACATGGTGCAAATGCGTGTCCGAGAACCTTCAGTTAGGTGAGTCCAGTAAAAATAGTGCGATCGGCATCAAATGTTGAAGGCTTAAAGAACTATTTACTTTGAGGATTTATTAGCTGCTACAACTTATATTCACCAAGGACCTCCCTGAAACATGTTATTTGAGCACGACAAATTACTGTGAGAAGCAACTTGTAATAAATACCAACTTCGCCGTCTAGAATGGCTCTTACTTAGATGTGAAAAAAAGTTCATTTGATAATTATATAAAGCAACCTGATGAATTAAGGTTACCCTAGTAAAAAATTATACTTAGAAATCAGAAATGTACTTCTTGAGGTAACGTGGGACGGACAGCAGCCTAAAGAACCAAACCTAGTGTCATTCGCTTCTATTGCATGTGAGTTATCCAAATGGTAAATCACTTATGGAAGGTGTGTGAAGCTGAATTTAATTTATAGTGGTATGGGTGACTGCTCTTTTGATCTATACAATGATTTTTTACTAGTCTATGTTAATCCTACTAAGGTCGCCCTAACCAAGTAATAATGTCATAAATTAAAATGAAGTAGATATTCCACACATTCCATTTACAATAAACTATCGAGAATTGATTACATTAGGAAGAGTAAAGAAGCCATCAGTAATAAGAGTGCGACTAAAAATGACTCATTAAATCTTACCACTGTGAAGGCTAATGCTTTATTCCTCAACTTTAATCTTCAACATTCAATTTAGAATTCTGAAATCCTTTTAGCAAGTTGTTTGGCGGGCTTTACAAAGTTCTGCATACTCACGCGGCTCTGTGTCTGTCGGGACAGTTGAGTACAAAATGGCTATCAGACCTTTACATCACCCAAGAATAATAAAAAAACACCCCAAGAAATGGCATCGTCACCACAGTGATCTGTACAAACGGCTTGGGGACAAATGGAGGAAACCAAGAGGTATTGATAACAGAGTTCGACGAAGATTCAAGGGGCAGGTGCGTATGCCCAAAATTGGTTATGGAACTGCAAAACGAACTCGTCATATTCACCCTGATGGTTTCAAGCATGTTGTGATTCGCAATGTGAAGGTGAGCCTTTTAATCTTCTGACCTGGTTTTTCAGGAGCTGGAGGTCCTACTTATGCAACATCGTACTCATGCTGCAGTAATCGCACATACTGTGGCAAGAAAAAATCGTGTCAAAATTGTTGAGCGAGCCAAACAACTCAGCATAAGAGTTGTGAACGCCAACGCTGGCTTGAGATCCACTGAGAATGAGTGATCAATAAATACAGGTTGGTATACAAAGCGTCTTCTCAGTTACTTCACGGTCAAACTGTCTATACTAGTTGGTTGTCAAGCGTGATTTTCAAGCTTACGAACTGTGCAGTTTTACTTATGAGGCGAGTTAATAATAAGACTGTTGATCAGATAACATTCAATAGGGCTACCTGGCGAATATAATTTCCTCGTGTATATCGAACTAACAAAACCTATAACAGCTCTAGTCCATGTAAAAATTCCAACCTTTTTAAGCCGTTTACTTCTAGTGTTGCCTTCACTGCGCTTTGGCTCAAATCAATTCAGTAAAATAGTGAGTTTTCGATGTTAGCATACGCGAGTGATCGTACTATCACCCATTTTATTAGAGGTTGGATATAATAGTTCAGAAAAGACAGGCAATTTTCCCTTATAATGAAAAATATGGATTACTATTCAACGTGTATACGAGTTGCGACACGTTTATTCTCGTTATGTTCAGTTGCCTGTGCTTGCATTTATAGCCAATAATTCCAAATTGAGTTACTCTGTAGACGAGCCCCTGAACGTGAAAGAATTCTAGGGTCACTGACGACGCAAAAGCCTTACGTCTTACCACTGAGTTATAGGATGCTCTCGTTCAGGAGGCGCAGTCCAAGTGATCGGTTGCAGTTTTACTGTACATAATGTGGAGACTTTACAAATTTCGTGTTATATTACTTTCCCTTCTTAGTTGGTCGAAAAAAGATGAATGTTGAGTCCGGCTCTTAGTGAGGCAGATCGCTAGCTATAGGATCGTTACGTAATATTCATCTGTGCAAATACTACCCACATTGTTTAGATCTCAACAGTCTAGAGAGTAGGCTTTGGTTACATATGTGAACTATGAGACTACTGGTCAGTGACAAGGACTATAGCGATGAGGTAAGCTGCAGTTTAGTGCGTGAAGATTCGTCCAGGTTTTTCGGGTGTCTAAGTCCATGATTTTGCCACCGTCGAGCAGTCAGAAGTAGTGAACGCATACTTTATAACTAAATCTGACATTCATCTACTCATGTGGGCTTCATTACCAGCTAAAATTGCGCACACCAACTGGTATCTCGAGGAAGACCCCAGGAGTTAAGCTGTAGTTCTCAAGTCCCAGTCATTCTTAAATGAAAATATATGATTAGATTTCATGGTTGTTCGGGTTCCTTGACATTATTGCCTCCTTCTCACTTAATGTATTTAGTGATATTATCGATGCTTGTTCCTTAACGAATCTTGATTGTCAAACCAAGAAAGAGAAGAATCCGACTGAATTACTATCCTTCTAATGTGTCGGAAGAGAGTTAGGGGCAGCCAAATTATATCGTGGCATCGGCTCTTTAAGTCACTAACTTCTAGTCTGAGCCATGTTGAAGGATGCAGACTACTTGGTTTGAGTCTGCGTGACTATTGTACCCAATGTTTGGAGAATGTGTGACATGGCTCAGAAACGATTACAATGGCGTAAGTGTACACACTCTTTGTCTCCCCCTAAAACGTGAGAGAGAAAACGCTTCATATCTCTCTTGCTGTACTATATCCTTACATACAATCCTCTTTTTTATATATTACTGCCATTGAAGTAACTACTATGAATTTGGTGTTGATCTTGTTGTGCTAATGAGGTATGATTGGATGTATATATGTGCCTGGTCCTACGTTCTAGTTGACTGACTGTGTTACAATAATTCGGTTATTTGATCCTAGTACTCGGATTTTCTCTTTTAAGGTATAAATGCGCGAAGTTCTTGTGTCCAAATAAACTTCGAAAGGAATCATGCCCATCTGCGAAGTCGTATACAGATCCATAAATTAATTATATTCGTCTGGAGGAGTAGAAATGATTATGGAGTTATTGATGTTTTCGTTAGATTCACTTTACTATCTAGTCTTGTGTGAGTCCTATTTGATCTGGTACCTTGTATTTCTTGTTCGTAGCTGAGTAGGGTTTAAATTTAGTCGACTCATCTCTCAGTAACATTCTCACTAACTAGTAAGGGTTTGTTTGACTTTTTGATGTTATTCCTGTCAGTGTAATAGTGATAATGGTTCAAGAGTACCGATTAATCAAAAACGCGGAACGGTGTAGGTTAGCAAGTGTGTTTGAATAAAAGTACATCCGTGGACGAGAGTTTATGTTACATACGTAATAAAAGTTGTCTAAATATCCTGATTGCTGTAACGCTGAATGCAGCTTAAATAGTCTTGTTCTATCAGCTTCGTTCTATCATTTAGCTAGTAGACCTGTGCACCATTACCGTAGTGGAAGCCTTCAGGATTACTATTTTCTCAATTTGTTAATTCGTTTACGTAATTAAGCCCTCAAATGCCCTGGTACGGCCGAGAGTGAGGAGAGTCCACTCCCTCTCGAAATGCTCTCACATGGCCAGCGAATATATAACCTCTGCCAGGAAAGTCCTACTCACTGCTTTCTTGTGGCGGGGTTGTTGTTTACGAAATTAAGAGGACGAAAAGCGAATGTCCGGCGCTTTAACCGGGTTGGTAGACAAGGCGAGTCCACCCTGGGGGAGTTGGAAAACCCTGATTCCAAACCAATGGTGCACATGGGCTGGCTCCAGTATCCTGAGGGAACAAATGGCGTACGAATCAATCGTTGGTCACCGGCTACCATGGGACTGCATCTCCTTACGATGCTCCGCTGCCTTGTGGATCATATCTTTCGGTCAAAGACTCCGTGTGTGGGCCCCTAAGAAAACCACCTGCTTCAGTTCGGGCACCTGGGCAGTATCACAGCCCTCAAGCAAATCGAATGAGATTTGTATGGGGCATATGTATTTGGTGTTTCCTTGTACCAATGTTTATTTGTTTAAATAAATAATTACGTAATTAAACTGGTTTTAAATTTATAACCAAGATGAGTATTGTAGAATTATATTTAATAAAAGATTAAATCTATAATTAGAATTTGATATACTCTGTATTTGCGAATATTGATGTCAGTCATATATGAGTGACCTTAAGCTAAACTGTCCTCATCGATCCATGTGGTTTGTGGTATCATCTATAAAGAGAAAAAAGTGTCAGAAAGATAAAAGAATGTGTGCGACAGCTGCAATAGGAAAGACACTTATAAGTTAAGTTATTTCGTTTTCTAATTAAACGAATCGAAATTTACACATCATTACTCGTACTGACATCGACTTGTTGGTTTACACTAGTTGTTTATTTTAGAGAAAAGAGGTGATTATCACTTGTATAATGTGATGAAAGCGGCTACCTTACATTAGATAGTAGCCTAATCCATATGAGGTAGAATTTACTGGAAGTGATATTCTCACCGCGTTAGTAGGAAAGTCATATGATATTATTAATCTCAAAAAAAGACCGAGATGGTAGTACAAAGATTGTAGCAGGATTGGAAGCTAGTCTTTTTATTTTATCTCCAATAAATCACTTTCCCTCTGATTCACCTTAATCATACAAGTTCAGCATCGTGCGTCAGAAAACCGTTAGCCAAATTATTTGCTTGTATCTTATATATAAATGAGACATCTAAGTGTAATCATATTGACAAGAACAAGTGGAAGTATTCATATTGTAGTAATGGTGAATTGGATTATCTCAGTATTTATTCATTGTGGCAGTTACAATGAATTCGATATAGTGTTTAAACGTGCAATTATCTTACAGGGGGGTAGCATTTCTGATAGTTATGTACACATGTTTGTTCAGTCAAGTGGTTTGAGGCCTTTTTGACTTGGTAGTAGTTTTTATCACAGAATAACGTTGACGGAGAACAGAAAGGAATTTGGAAGCCATAATGTAATCTTCTAGGTCTCTCTAACATATGGAATAAAACTGTCCTCAAGCTAACCTCACGTCAACTAAGGAGCTGGGTTCATTTGATACATATCCTCGACCACAGTTGGTTCTCAGCCTAACGTATTAGTCGAGTCTTTGGTCCCGATGCATAGCATGTAGCTGTCCAGTTTTGAGGAGATTCGAACTACAAGAGAACAGATATCGTACGCATTACGTAAAGTAATATGCTTCACCAAAGTAGACATCTATCGTCGCTTTAGATTAGTTTTTTTTTGTTTTCGTTTGTTAATATTCGGTAACCAAAATGAAACTATAATCTGTCGAAGGGGGATGGCAACAGTAATTCTTTGCTCCACAATATGTTTCATCCTAAACTTATTACATGTTTAAAAGCAACGTTCAGAAAAATTAGCAGTTATCAAACACTTGTTCGCTATATACCTTCTCAACAGTGTCGCACTTAGATTATCGTGTTTGTGGACATCAGTCTCCTTAGGAAGTATATATAGCCACACCAATAAACTGATTAGCAGAAGTAAGTCGATAAGCACTCACTTCATCTGCTTTTCAAGCGGCTTCAGAGCGTAACATGCTCTCTATATTATGAAGCGAGAATTTATTCGTCAACTACTTTTTTGTTTCAATTCAGTTATTTAGTATAGGTCAGAATTTGAGATCATAAATCGGTGTTCTGGAGGCCATTTGTTCCAATTCTGCCGTAATATAGGCTTTGAACCTCCAATCATTGTCCTAAATTCAGTGTCGACCTAGTTTCATCGATGCACCAGCGCATGGTTAAAGTAATAATAGTCGGGTCAATTGTTACAAACTATCCTATTAACCCTACGGTTTTTATATTTTTTGAAATCACGGAAATTCTAACTAATTTAACAATGATACTCATTACCGACAAGTAACAAAGGCTAGTTAATTATTATCATGTCATACTAAAAATAAAATTCTAAAAGCAATCATCATAATAAAACTTACATTCATCATTTCACTATACTGTTTTAAGCATAATTTATCATGTAGGTAACCGCTGATGTGAAATGGCTTGGAAACGGGGGGGATTGTAATACTGTTCAATACATTATATCTTTTGAAATTTGTTGGTAAAAGTAGGAAATCTACTTGCTGTGCTTCAAGAAATGGTCCATTTATAGACGGTGTGTGTTGTACATCAACACAAGCGATAGCTGGTATAAAACC